CTTCTTTTTTTTGTTAAATTTTGTTACAATCGTCTTTTGTGTCAGAGAAACATGTTTAAACCGAATCTCCTATAAACGAAAAGAAAGATGACACTTTGGAACAGCAGAACTGACGTTCTGATTCCACCATTCTGTGGTGATGTAAGTGGTTATTGTAATCAATTAATCCATTATCTAAAATATCCATTAGTATTATCGTATTTAATGATGGTGTATAATAAATCAATTGGCTCTTAATCGTTTTAATAAGAAATGTTGTTTTTGTGACTTATTATGGGATACGAAACGTGGACATGGTGAAAGAAATTGTTCGGAGTGGATCTGTTCACCAAATATTTTTATTGTAATATAACTGGTCAATGTATTGATCGACGTTGAATATGTGTGGGAGAATGGGATTGTGTTAATGGATTTGATGAACTAAATTATTCATCGAATAACATTTCTCGATGGAAACTTGAACATGTATCAATAAAACAGAACATTTTTGTATAGCGAAAGACTATATTGATAATCAAATTAAAAATATACCATGCATTGATTTTTCAAGAGCGAGAGATGCTATTTTCGATTGTGTTGGTAGACAAGATGAACGAAATACATACTCTTGTTCCGATGTAGAGTGGTAAAAATACCCGCAATCTTGGAATACTGGTTGAGTAATTCTGTATGATGCGTGGAATTTTCACAAAGGACGAAGACAGCAACGAGAGGACGACTGCTGTGAACGATAGAAAGAACCTCCCGAGCTAGCGAACCAGAAACGATCAGCAGCAGTTGTTCGTCGTATGTTGACTTGAGAAGCGTCACACACTTGGACAGGTCTGTGTAGAACTGTGCAGCTGGATTGAGATCAAGTACACGGCTCTGTGCAGCACGCGATTCAATCGAATCATCGATAGTGGCATCCAACCAGATGATACGCGCGCCTTCTTTGTTGTGTGGCACTTCAATGGCGTGAAGGTCACGCGTTAGATGTGGAGATGTCACCTTGCGATCATTTCCATCGTCCATCTTTGGTACCTGCTCCATATTCGTACGCTTGATAGATGATGGGCAAAACGGCACCAGCAGGTTCTGGAAAGGACCGGTAAGTTATTTTTGTTATAGTTCTTCCATCATTTCTCGTTATCCCTAAAGCACCCATGTTAATTTACGCAAAAAGAGAGGAGAAAAAAGGTTGCTCATGTGTTAGAATATCAACTTTTCTAGCAGATTGATCCTCTCCCTTAAAATTCTTTGCATAACATCCACACAAAAAGATGTGAGAGACTAATGGCCACAAGATAAAGTGTTTATGCGACAGCAACTTCGTTTTGAAATTTTATTTTAGACCTTCTTTACCGAGTTATAGGATTTCTAAAACTGAAAACTTTGTTTTTGAGACGCTCTTCAGTATTTTTCCTATAACTCGACCGAGAAAGGTCTTAAAAATTTTTTCCAAAACATACCTCTGCGATATGACATTGAGTACCTCTGGTAAAATCGGATGAAATTTAAGGGGGTCGTTATGTGGCACAATGAAAAACCGAGTTTTCTGGAAAACTGGTGAACGGCAATAGTTAAAAACTTGAGACAAAAACGAAAAAATGCTGCATTGAGTTTCCAATCAGTTCTGAAAATATGAAGCCTTAGTGACTTTTAGTTTTTATTTCACAGCATTTCTACGGAAAGCCTAAAAAGAGGGGAGGAATACCCTTAAGTACTATTAAACAAAAAATAATCGCTTTCTGAGTAAAAAAAATCGCAAGTCCACCTGCTCTATGGAAAATGCCCACTGTGCATCTCAGGCGTTCTACATATACTGCTCGTTATTACAGAGCATTTAAGTTTAAGAAATGTTCAGACTTTCTAGGGTTAGTTTTTCTCTTACTTACTTATCTTACTCTTTCTTCTACTCAACTTGGCCTTCACTAGTGTACACACCCTGCGTCTGCTTAAAGATACTAAGCGCTCTTATGCTAATCAGAACTGGTCATTGAAGAACTCATCAATAGAGAAAAACAACCTTGACAACACGTCAGGTCA